TAAATAAATAAATAAATAAATAAATAAATAAATAAATAAATAAATAAATAAATAAATAAAAAAAAGTCTTCTCTATGCTTTTTGTTAGCCATGTTTTCTTTTAACTTGCTTTCCAGTTGATTGCAAAGAGTGTGCACACCGCGTTGGGCTAAAAAGGCGTGCTGTTCTGTACATATTTTATTTTGCAGACAGGTCGTTAATCGTTATGCGATTATTTTTTTCTATTACGTTTCTATTACGTTTAAAGCGATTCCATGCTAGATTTTTTTCAGGAATGAGCTTGGCAATATCTGAGTTAAACCATATTGGATTGCATCGCTGTGGCGGCTGCCTGTTATGAGGAATTGACTCATAGCTGATCTTCTGATAATACGTTTGATTTGGGCTGCTTCCCTGTTTATGTTGTTGGATTCCTCGTAATCGTAGCAGTACCGATCGGTCTTACTTTGGAACGAATTCCAATTAGTTTTTTTTGTCTATAAACTTCGGATTGAGACGATTGCAATGTCTCTCTATGCGATTATATATGAAAATTGGAAAGTGATCGCTGGCTACTTGTTGGGGTAGGCATTTCCAGGTGAGGGTGGGCGCTAGATCCGCAGAGGCCATAGAAACGTCGACCGTTGTGAGTGTGCTCTTTGTAGTGAGCAATGTGGGCGATCCGTTTCAATATAACGAGGCTTCTGTCATCGGAGAAATTTTCCCAGATTATGCCGCTCCGTGATGTGTGTTTGGAGCCCCATAGAGTGTTTTGTGAGTTGAGGTCCCCGATGATCAAGTGATGCCCTATGCTGTACTTAGGGATATCATTGATCATCTGCGGTGTAAGATAAACGTCACATTCTTTATATACGTTAGTTATATGAACTTGTGCGTTCCCGTTTATGGTTACATTATGAAATTACAAATTGTTGTTCGATGTTTCGTGATTTTGCACGTTAATAGTTTGCTTAACTAGGGGCGATCGCCCCCTCCCAGAGCTCGAAAAAGCAAAATTTCGGATAAAATATATTACCTCAAACAAGAAATTTGAAAAAAGAAATTTTAAGTTTTTTTTATTTTAATCTTCAATCGTAACCATTTTTTAGGCTTGCACAAGACTATTTATAGAATAAGAAATCCTGTAAAACTCTTCGTCATCGTGAAAAATTAAAACAATGGGTATATAGATACTATGAATGTATGTATGTATGTCAAATCGAACTTTCTGATACTACTTTTTGTTGTTGTTGTAGCGGCTACAACAACCCCGCCCAGATCGGTTAATATCTCAGTCGTTGTCGTCAAGTTCCACTAACGGCAGCCCTAAGAAGCGTGCAGCCTCTATGGGGTCGGCCCACAGGGAGAAAGGCGTTAGGGTTGTTGGGTTTTCCGGGCATACGAAGAGATGCTTGCGAGTCATGAGGTGTCTCTCTGCATGCCGGACATTCACTTGGCACATCCGCGTTTAGTCCGCTCAGGTATGAGTTTAAACTGATGCAGTAGCCAGAGCGAAGTTGGGCTATTGAGGTTCTTGTCTCCTCGTCTCGTCTATGTCCGGTGGTTGTGCGCCTAGAACGGCATTCACTGGTCTGGAGTCTACATAACTCGAGACTGACTCCCTCTGAATGCCGTTCAGGACTTGTCGATATGCGGACGGGTCCAGACGTTGTTTAATGAACCTCTGGACTTCGTCCGTCAGTTCGTAGAGATGCCTCCTGACGTGCCTGGGCGAGGGCTCTTCTGCAAGCAGCTGCACATTCGGGTGACCACGCCTATTGCTCCCGACAAGGAACTGCTTGCAGAGCATGGTGTTATGCTCCTTGACAGGGAGCAATTTCGCCTCGTGTAGGTGGTGTTCAGGCGACATCAGAAGGCATCAAGTCTCTGTCCGTAGTGCGGT